GAAAACGGCAAAGGGAACCGAAATTCATATTTTCCAAAATATGAGAGTCTGCTCTTTACGCGCGGCACATCAAGCCACCTGTTTCGTGAACCAATTAAATTGTTGGATTTGTACACGTGGACCAATAACGGTCGATCAATTTATGGGAAGGGGCGTGGATACGCTTTTGCGGATTTCGTGGCATAGTGAATTTAAGTAATTGTTATGCTGTTCTGAACAGCATAAGACCATATCACAACCCTCCGCGTCCAAGGGGTTAAGTATCTACCAGTGATGATGAAGGAATAACCCTGACAAACACAATTAACCTTAGACAAACACCATTTGCAAAAACAAACTCAAGGAAAGCTCCAGATTTCCTACAAGCTATAGGTATACAGGAACAAAGCGCTTTATAAATGCTGGCTTCTTCCCACACGGTGCAGAATATTCTAAGGCGTCCCGCCGAGAAATCTAGGAAGAGCACTATTAAAGGTACTGTACATGGCTACTTGTAATTCTTCGAAACTCAACACTACTTCCATGTGTCAGCGTACGATTTGTTGGTCTAGTTCGCATTCAAAAACGCTCTAGAATGGGTAATTGTCGCCTCATTTAGGGTGATCTTTACTTTAAGCATCCGACTAGCAAAGCTGATGCGTAATATGGTTTCGTGATATATTACAATACATCTCTGTAATTCTTTGAGCGAGGCATACCGTATTCTCTTGGACCAGTTTACGACATTGCAATTATATGAGTGTCTACAGGCTGTATTTACAGCGATACCTTCGGATCATTTTTGGGGTACATCAAGTAGCCCTATTTCTAAATTTGTGTACCTCGAGCTCCCTAAGCTCGATCTCCATAGTTTTTCCTGTATTTCTTAGGCTTTCAGCAAATCGGATACGATGTATTGGATCTCGGACTATCCGTGTGACGGGGTCACACAGCACCATGCGCTTGAGGAAGTCGGCTTCCAAGGGTTTACAAACTCTCAGTGAACAGTAGTTCACAGGTCCCTTTTGTCGAAGGAAGCGAAGTGACAAGCTTAAGGTGAGTTTTAAACTGAATGTATTTATAGGTAGGCTAAGCTTGAGTTAAAATAAACAAACTTTAAGTCACCTTAGGTAAAGGTATGGTATCAGTCTATTGGCCTCTGGCAAACGTGATACCATGTACCAGGTTTTCCGAAGTGTACTGTGTCAGACTTCATGTAACCAGGGGTATAGTTGGGGTTACGTACCCGCTAAATCCTCTCCCACTTAGGTTCGGTTTACTAACCAATCAGAACGAGGAAGTGTACGTCACAAACTCTCATTTTTAAAGTCGAAATACATCGACTTGAACATGGCGGAGGCTCACTTCCCCGTTAGAACGTCGAGCAGCACTTGAGCGCTCTTCTTCTCGGTATCCACTTCGACCTTTAGCATACTGCGAAGAGCGGTGCGAAAGCTCGCTCCTAGGCCGCTACCAGAAAGGCGCAAGCCAAGAGCACTAAGCCTCGCGGCAAGGCTCTGCACTCCAAAGTCTAGTATGCTGGCCTCGAGGCGGTCGATTTATTCGGTGACGTGGCTGCGAGCAAGAGCACAAGCAAACGCCGCAGTCCATACCCTTCGGTCATTCCAGACAGCCGACCGAGCCCGAGGTACGTTGAACGTGGGCTCGTTCACGCAGTGAGGACGAGGCCGAGTCCGGGAGCACTCACAACGGTCCTGTAGGCTTTGTGGGAGGTAACACTCCAGTGTCCAGCAAGCACGACGACAACAGCGCGCACTTGCTTGCTAGTGATCACGGTGATCACAGGCCCAGGAAGTCTATGCGCTCTGAGAGTCCTGTCGTCAGGGCTTAGGGCTCGTTGAAAGCTGGTGACGAAGAGGAAGAGAAACCTCTCAAACTCCCTTCCACTCGCCGAGGGTCTTGCGCATGTTAAGGCTGCCAAGGTCACAGCCGAGTATGCCAAGCTCTCGAAGATGCGCACGGCTTCGAAGTCTCAACTCCGTGATGAGATGGAGACTAGCTACTTTTATCGGAGCTTCTCCGGTTCCTCGGATTTAGAGAACCAAGAGGAGGAGGAGGGTGCCATCTATAAGTCCCGGGAGATCACCAACGATCTCGACCAGCCGTAGAAGGACTTCCAAGCTACCTAGATCATGCGTGGGGTCCGGTGGTGACATCTGTCAGCAAGGGATCTTCCATCAACCCAAGAGGTTATTGACCTCCCGAGGAGAGCTCTGGGGTTGACCTCTTTCTGGGGACTCTCGACGTTCCTCGTGGACGTATCGGTTGCCACATGTCAAAGGGCGTTTACGAACGTGTCATGATCCAGAAGAAGCTGTTGTTCGTAGGCAACTTGGAGGCGACCCGTTGCATACTTCTCGTGCCGCACCGAATCACACTTACGGACTTTACGACTTGTCGTAAGAAGCCCGAGAATTGGGGTGGTCTCTACCCTCTTTGGGCTGCCCCTCGGTTCTTTACGATAACTGTCCCAGCTGAGCTTGTTTTAGGACATGTTCTGGACGTGGGTCGAATGTCTCAAGTACTCACCCTCGGAGTTACGGGATCTCCATATAGATCAGCTGCTGTCCCGAATCCTGGACCAGCGTGATCGTCGTGTCCGGTTCGTCCACTTGGTCAGCAAGCGCATGCAGCCAAGGGTCCTTCTGAAACGCGCGAGTTTTAGAGCTCACGATGAGCGCGGGTATGAAGTATTTTCAACGTCCGTACCTCGCTCGCACAAGACGCCTCGGGCTACTTACGAAGCTGCCGTCGCTCCTGCTCCCAGATTATGACAGCCTTCGAGTAGTCAATCAGGAGCCGTTCGATCGGCTACAACGAGCTCTCGGCGTGGGCATAACCTCTCCACTTCACGACAATCTGGCGTGTTATGAGAAGCCGCTCCACGTGGTAGTGGACTTCTCCGCTCCGGTCAAGCAGGGGCGGAGCTGTTCTCGTACGAGAACAAGCACTAGGCGCCTCCAGAGCGCTACCCTCGTCTGATTGCTCTGCCTGTGGGTCCGACGCAGGACCCGGATGATGACCGCCTCCGTCGTGATTGAGATTGCACTTGGCCTTGGGACTGACAGTGATGCTGCCGCCCAGGCTGGGAATCAAGAAGGGCTCGAGCCTGCATCAGCGGGGCCCCCTTCATCCGATCTTGATGAGGCCTTTTGCATGATCCGACGTGTTGAGGCTCTGCTGCAACGTCCGAAGCCGACTTTGGCGCACTCCCAGCCGTGCGCGTATGCTGTGTATCCGACGTACCCTCCGTATGGCTCTGGTGTCCGTTCGTACGGGGCCCCACCGGCGTACGAATCGACCGCTCTGGGTCTGCGAGTCGGCAACCCCAGCGGGTATCGCTTAAGACGTCCAACGTAGAACGTCGGGTGCGTCGTCATTGACTTAAACAGATCGATGGTCTACGACGCACCATACCAAGCCAGGACTGCGAGCGGTCCAACGAAGCGGTGCTTGAGCTTGTTGCTGCGGACAGAGATGACAGTGTCTAGCGGTAGGTTCCGCGTGTCAAATAACACTAATTCACCTATCTTAAACATAGTTAAGGTTCTTCTTTCATGTTTGTCAGAGTACTCCTTCTGTCTGTTCTGAGCCCCTGCCATGGCATCGTGGACCCAGAAGATCTGTCTCAGCTTGGTATCCGCAAAGGACCCCACTTGTTTCAGCAGCGAACCAGGTTTTACATTTGAGACCTGGGACGAAAGAGCTTTCCGAGCCCCCCCCCACCCCCCCCCCCCACCCACCCACCCCACCCACTTAGAATAGAGAAGGAAGCGTCTCCTTGAAGAGTGAGAGGCACTCTGGGGTGACGGAAGCCATTCAAGTAGAGCGGCGGAAACCCTGTGGACACGTGCACCGCGTTGTTGAGCGCAAAATCAACAGCTGGAAGATGCGTCGACCACGTGCGTGGGGCTCCCGCTCACACACTGCATAGAGTGGCCTCGAGCACTCAATTGACGCCCTCCATCTGGCCGTCCGTCTGCGGATGGTCCGCAGTAGACATCTGCAAACGAGTTCAGAGTTAAAGGAACAGTGTCTTCCAGAGCACAGCCGAGAAGTGCGGGTCTCGATCCGAGACAATCGTCTCCGGGATACCGTGAGAGCAGAACACGCCATCGATGAACAATCTCGCGATCTGTTCACCTGTGGTGGTAACGGGCACTGGAGCAAGATGTACCATCTCGCTCAGCCGACGAATGAACACCAAATTCTGGGTCTTGCCGTGTCCGTCGGCGGGAAGCCCAATCATGAAGTCAAGACTCATCGACTTTCAACCGTCAGCCGGTGCGGGCAGGCTCTATAACGGTGCCGAAGCTAGCCCTTCGGGTTAAGCTCACAAACATGTTTCGCATGTCTTTACATACCGGGCGACACACTTGTACGTGTAAGTCCCCCAGAAGGCCTCCAAAACCGACAGGGAGGTCTTCTGGTCCACCAATTATACCCTTTTTACTTTATTCAAGTGAACGAAAGGCGCCTCACTTTGTGTCTTTCACGGATAGCTTCTACGTGGCTAACAATTGAAAAAGAGCGGTGAACAGAAACTCAAATTGTTTTACTGAGTTAAGTATAGTATTGGAAAGTATTAATAACGTATAATAGCGAATATAGCTTCCCTAGCGAATAAAATGCCCTCTTGATGTACATGTAATTGAGCGCTCTCTCTGGTAGCGTTTTATATAAATAGAAAGCCATTGAATACAACGTGTCGTCTTAGACATTCTATATTTTCTTTAGAATCCTTTGATTATTGAAGTCGAAAAGTACCCTAGAATTCTAAAATTTCTTGGAATCAGTTCAGCCAGTAGCACGCTAGCATTTAACTACGAGCATTCTCAATGTTTCTATCTTGCCGCCACAACGCAAGAGATTCGAGATAAGTTTAAATCAGCGTGCTCGACTGGATAGAGATTGAAGGTGGTGGCCAGGGATTAGTAGTAGCGTAAAAAAACCGGTAGTAGTATTACCGGGACTATTGGGTCTCCACGAAAGGATAAATATTAGAAATAGTAGCGCTTCTACAAAGTGGTAGTAGTAGTAGTAGTAGTCATATTAGTATACTATTTTGACTACTTCTATTTTTGACTTACGATTCGTTCGACTTGCGAGCGTCCAGCTTCATCTTCATGATTTCACCCCTATTGTTCCCCAGTAGTAGCTGCCTTTCCGCTCGCCTGCTATCCGTCTTTGGCCTCAGAGGTCCCATAACTATCCCTCCAGTGGAAAACACCCTCTCTTGGAGCGCTGAAGACGAGATTATGCCAAGATATATACGTGCCAGTAGCGCAATAGAGGGGAACTGAGCTTCACTTTCATCTCGAAATCACTTTAGCACATCTACATGTTTGTAGAGGCCCAACAGAGCGTAGTGCATCCCGCTCTGTGTGTCAATCGACATGTCCTTCGACAAGTCCTCAATCTTGATCTTGGGGCTCTGGCGTTGGGTGACCTCGAGTCACTCTGAATGAGATCCCAGATATCGTCTGTAGTGCCCGCTTTCCTCGCGTGCTTAACGGTAAGTGGCACGCCAAGATCTGACATCGGAGGTGCAGGCAGCGGTACCGGTGTGGCCGTGAAAAGACTGTCGGCAGCTTCTGAAGACGGAGCTGCCTTCTTCTTCCCAGCCTTGGTCTGCGTAGACAGAGGTGTCTTCTTCTTCGATGCCTTTACGGCAGGGCTTGGAGCAGTTCTCTGCCGCTTTACTACGCTATCGTCATCCTTGACCCCAGACAGATCTGGAGATGGGGTAAAGTCCGAGTCGGTACCCTCCCAAAAATATTTCAATCCACCAGACGTGGCTGTTCGTTTTCCAGTGGCGGAAGCTGGTGGGCTGACCTCTAAATATACGACACGCACACAAGAAGGACTGCAAAACCTAGACACCACTTTAAATTAATATACGCCCGGTTAGAATCAGACAAGCTGGCTGGAATACCTTTCATTTAGTGCCGAATCGCTGCCTTAGTAGACGCCAATAGCACACATGTGATGGATAAGCCTTCCACACACAGTACACGGGTCCTTTTTACGGCCATCGTCTTCTCTCTCTACAAAGCACGCCATAGTTGTCTCCTGAGATGTTACCTCGATGAACTGGCGATCTTCCTGTCTGTTCGCAAATGGTGAGCGTCTCGCGCTGCAGAACGAGAGCCACTCAGTCAAAAATTGTCAAATGAGGGGTGGCTTTGCTGGTTCAGGGTTCTGGTGAAAATAGTTCTTTAAGAGTACTATAGTACTGGGATTTGAGAGTGATACTAATACCAAAAATGAAAACATTAGGATTTCATAAGACTAATATGTAAATAGTAGCAGTAGTAGTATTACTCCAGAATCATATTTTTGTTCTACTACCAATCTCTGGTGGTTATCCGGGATAACTTTTATCCCATCACGTGCCGAAAAGCACTTTCGTCAGTTGGGTTGGTGTATAAGCGCATCATGCATCCGGCAATGGTGGTGGGAATTCGCGCCGAAGCTTTCATCTTGCTGTCGCATCATCAATAAACCAGGTGTCTTAACCACCTGAGTTGTCAGTGCTTACCAAAAACTACAACGCCATCGAATACAGCGCTGTAATTCACAAAGACCGCGCTCTATATTCATAGTAGACGGCGTATTATTCTGCACTATACGTTACTTGCTTGAAGTTTTTACGTTGCTCATTTTTTCGTGCACCATATTGCATCTTTCATGCAACATAGGAATCAAATCACTGGTGATGCATTATTTGGGTCAGCAGCTTCACATGTCAGTCCATCACTTCCATCCCGCCCACGATGGCTTGGCTGGAAATTGCGAAAGACCTGAACGCCGGCACCATCGGCGGCGTGGCGGGGATCATCGCTGGCCATCCCTTAGACACCGTCAAGGTGCAGCTCCAGACCAGCAGCGGGGCGAGCACCGGCGTGTTGCGCAGTCTCCGTCGTGTCATCAGCTCAGACGGCGCTGCTGGCCTGTACCGCGGTCTGCTGTCCCCCATCCTGTCCAACGCACCCATCAACGCCGCCATCTTCGGAGTCCAGGGACACGCTGTGCGTATGATGCAGACAAAAGAGAACGCTGTGCTATCCAATACCCAGCACTTTATAGCGGGGAGCGCCGCTGGACTCGTCCAGGTGGTGTTCGCGGCGCCATCGGAGCACGTTAAAATCCAGCTACAGACAGGAGCAATGGGCCAGGAGCACAGCTCGTTGAACGCTGCTAAGATCATGTACAGGAGATACGGGATGAAGACGTTGTTTAAGGGATGGGAGGCCTGTTTGCTGAGAGATGCTCCGTCCTTCGGAGTCTACTTTTGCTGCTACGAAGCGACTAAACGCGCGCTGACGGGAGGCAAAACGGAGAATGAGACGGACTGGAAACTCATGACGGCGGGGGGCGTTGCTGGGATGGTCTCGTGGGCGATGTGTATGCCGTTCGACGTGGTCAAGAGCTGCATACAAGGGCAGAAGTTGGGAGGGAAGCAGCTGTCCATGATAGAGATCGCAAGGTCGGGGGTCAAGCAGGAAGGGCCTGGATTCTTTTTTAAAGGGTTTGGAGCGACCATGGTTCGCGCGTTTCCAGTTTGTGGAGTGACGTTCCTTGTTTACGAAAAGACAATTTTGTTAATGTCTTGAGAGGGATGAGTTAGGGGTCGACTGTTTTGCGAGGAGCCTTCTTAAACGGAGCTGTGGCCAGACCGGTGGCTGAGTGTCTTCGGTGGTGGAGCTGAGCTTCTCTAGAGTTGTCCTAGGTCGACGCAGGGTCGCTGGGTCTGACACTTGAAGACGCGAATCAAATGTAAAAAAAAGAAGGTGTACGCCATTGAGCTAGCCCCACATAATACGTGGAATTCCGTCAATCAAAATGTTCATTCGGACCCTTTTATCTGAATTGTTGTCCATTATATTGTGAAAGGTCTAAACCAACCTGTAAAATGAGACGGCGTCAAACAAAATGATGCTTACGAACCATTTAGAGTTGCCGGTATCGATTACTTAACCGAAACTGTGGCATCTATTGTAAACTACCATCGAAAAAGAAATATCCGTACCCTTATTCAATTGCTTTTAACAAGGGCTTTTAAATAACACCTGAATCTCTTAAGTTAAAAAATATTGAGCTCACAACACTCCTAAATGAATCGTCATTTCGAGGGCCCATACTGGAGATAATATTTTTGAGCGACCACAACTTCTTCAATTTTAAACATTCTGTAGCTTATAAGGGCTCAAGGGATAGAGGCTTTCGTTTAGAGTGCCTAAATCGCGATTCGTACTTAGGTTCGTAAGCATCATTTTGTTTGACGCCGTCTCAAACTTTGATGGCGTACAGACCGAATAAAACACTCGCCTCCATAGTCCAATTCAATGTTGGGAGTTGAAGAGACTTATCTGGATTTTGATTCCATATCTTGTGTTTGTGAAGGCAATGGACTGCATATCATCGCCAGGCAAATGTCGGACACCCCTGCTAATACACAAATCATTGGATCTCTTCAAGAACTTTTGGATATTTGGACCCCGCCTATTATCCAAATGTGTGTCATCCTGGCAAATGTGAAATTGACTTAATGTGGAGACAGCAAGATGTGGTTATATTTGCAGAATACCTAAAAGTGACAGCAACTCGCAGTAGGGTAACATTTTATCCGGATATAATGGCGGTAGTCACTCGGACTATGGCGTCAACATTTTCGGTATGCATTGATGGTGGCCACGATGATGATTTAGCTGAAGCGAGTATGTTGGAATCGCTTCAATCCACAACCAACGCTGGGGTTTCGCTAAGCTCACTGTTTTGTGGCCGCTCGCTGTGCAAAGTTTTGTGGGGGAAATGCCGCCCGGTTGTCTACAGAGCGAAGTTCAGCGAGATAGAGCTATCGTGCCGTTCAGTGTTCAATCGCTTGTTTAGCGCGACTTGTTCGGCGATAGCGGAGGTGTCGTTGGGAATACGTTTAAATACGATTTCAATGCCGTTGACGAGCCCGAAGCGGTGGCTGTGGATGGTGTATGCGCTCTGTTGTGGGGGGGGGTCTGGCGTTTTTACTTCAAGACTGAGCTTGGGCCGATATCGTCCTGACAGCAGCCGATATACACGTCATTCAGATGGTATTGGAGACTCGTTACCCAAAAATTGATACGAGCACACACGTTCAGTACGGATTTGTCGTTATCCTTGAAGGGACTTCGATGAGACCTGGCGGTGGTGATGAGAGCTCTACCCTTATCGCATCGAGCTCATATCGCTGTCGAGCTTGCTGCAATCCTTCAGCCAGCGGCTTTGTGGATGTAATTGCTCCTGGGTATGGACTTTGCAAGACACGACTGAGAGGCCCCATTCAATTTATCCCAGATCCACGGAGGGCGAAATTTGAGCCGACGGCAGTTTAATCTTGCAATTTAATGCAATCGAGAGCATTGGGCCGGTGATGACTCTACTACCGCTGCTGTTTAGTGATTTGAGTCAGAGGTCGGAAAATAAAATATGTTATTATATTTTCGTTTTCAAGCTTTGTACTGTACAAGTACAGTAGTGTATACATTGCAATACAGGACTACAGACAACGACGGTGAAACTCAACCCCCCACAAAAACTCGACCCCCCCTTACAGTGCAACTTTAAGCTCAAGTAACAATGTTATTTGTAATTTTAGCCAATAATATACTTTTAAATATATTGCTGGACAGCACGCCATGCTGGCGCCGTTTAAACAATCACGCTATTGCTGTTTCTGCGAAGTGATGGACGAACGTCGTCGGCAGAACAGCTACACCGTCAAGCAGAGACGGGAAGCACTCGAGCGGGTGGCTCTTGAGGGATGTAAGCCTACCGCTCGGGCGCTTAATATTCTATTAGGTACGTTGAAGGGCTGGAGAAAGAAGGCAAAGCTGCTGTTTGAGTTTAAGGGACCTCAAACTAGCAGAACGACAAAAGGACAAGGCGTAAAGACTAAAATCACATTTGAGCACGAATTGGTCACCTTCATGAAAGGTAAATTTGTTTTGTTAATATTATTTGAGACGGCGCGAAACGAAAAGACGCTTACAAACCTAAGTACGAATCGCGTCTTAGGCACACCATTCGAAAGAGGAGGATCTCCTCTTTCAAATGATGCCTTCAGACTTCTAAACGGTTTGGAGCTCGAGTCCACCAAAAAAGTTGCCTCCCAGAAAGACGAACATAAGAATTTGTTTCTTACTCTTCTTGTGTAGTTTACGTATACGCATCGTTTGAGCCTATTCCCGCGTCCTAATTCGACTTCCTTCTGCTTCAAATGAAGGTCTTTACCAGTTGGGGCCCAAATTTGAGGGTATATTTTTATGTGTTCTGGGTACTTACAGCCTGTTTTAAAAACAAATGGGTACGGGCTAGAAGGATCATATCATTTTGCTGCTAACATTTAGTGCCTTTGTGGGCCTACGTTTCTTTCCTGGCACGCTTGCGTGTTTGTTTGCAGGTTTTAGGCTGGGATGTGCTGTCCGTAGTTACATCCATGCAAGCCTTTCTGGTACTCTAACCTATATAAAAGTTCATAGTAAATCAGAATGATCTTAGAATCCTTGGTGAAGCAGAATGATTCTTGTGTACAAACCTCATAGCTTTAGCTGCGGCGGTGTGAACACCAAGCTCTTCGCTGAGTTCTGCAGTGACCTGAGAGCGCATACGTACGTACAATATAGAACAGAAGTCGCACACGTTGCTGCGAAGAGATCGGATTCGAATGAGGGCACAATGTTTCTGTAAAAGCTGTCGGAAAGTTGATGGTCGAGGTTCCCTCACCTCCAAGTCGTTCTCCACCACGTAGAAACCAGCTCACCAACCAACGGATGTCTATCGTAGCGGCGATAATGTTGAGCTGACCCGGTGTGTGTTGACGGAGAAAGCACCTCTCTTTATCTGTCGGTAGCGCGTGATTGTTGCCGTGGAAATCCCATACACGGCGCACCATGAATCCCGACACACACGCCCTATTAGTGGTAAATAAAAGGAGAAGACTTGCCGTTCACCACTCCCACGACGACGTACTGCGTTGTCTGTCTTCATCAACATCGCCAGCGAGGTCAGGATGCTCTGCTTCTTTTCATGCGTAGTCATTTGCTTCAAAGAGCACAGAAAGTTTTCAAGATCAGCTGCTTTGCCTTGAAGGCACTTCTCCGTGTAATGATCTTGCTGAATCAAACTCGTAACGTGCTCAGAAGTTGGTCATCAGACCAAAAGATCCTACCCTTCACTGAGAAGTCCTCAACAGACTCTACGTCGGAATGATCCTGTAAGGCGTCCTTTAAGGCATCTTCAACGTCTTCAGCACTCGAAACGCCACGTGATTCGCCTGATATTGGCTCCCACACACTGTCATCTGATCCTTCACCGCCGGTTGCGTCCGGGTCAGGTAGAAGAGAGCCCAGTAGATTCCTGTCATAATGCCGAAGCGCAGTGTTTGCCCTGGTACTGGCGTCGCTGGCCACAACCGAAGTGCTGGAAGAGTTTGTGCTGGTGTTCATCGTGCTCGTTCTAAAATATACACCACCAAAAAATGGGTTCGTTTAGAAAAACGCCTCTACTGAAAATTCGTTTAATTACGTTTTTGAGTGGTCAATCTTTAAAGCCGTTTATCTCATTAACTCTAAATGGCTCGTAAGGATCAGTTTGTTTCGCGCCGTCTCATTTATTGCAGATTCTAACGTGTATATATAGTATTTGTGTACTGGAGGCATGATCGAGTATATGAAGATGGAGCAGGGGGCTTGGCTGGAGCAGTATTTAGCCGATAAATCATCTCCTGAGCGCGCATTGAGCGCGTTGGTGCGTATGTGCCAGCGGTTTGCAGCTCGGTAAGCATCTCGTTTTCCAATATGTTGGTTTAATCAAACGTTTTAGCAATTTATCCTATTTTATTTGTGTTTTTAATCAATATTTATTGCTTACATATTTTTCTTAATGTTATAGCCATGGTTTCTCGGTTCAGAAACCGCAATTTACTAAAAAGGATGGAGATGCACTACAAGAAATCCATTTGAACTTTGCCATAGAGTTTTGGAAACAGCATTCTCACTTCCAGCAATCCGCCATATACAATGTCGACGAGACAGCAATATATTTTGACACCCCACCCCACAAGATTTGGGCCCTCAAAGACCGTCGTGGCTCCGCTAAAGTGAAGCACACGCAGAAAAACTCTGGTAGACTCACTGCAGTTCTCACCATTAGAGCGGATGGTAAGTTTTGTTTAATGATTTAATGATTTTATCATGTTTAAACTAACTTATTTATCTTTTAGGGAAAAAACTACCAATACTGTTTATACTACGAGGAATGCCGGGCGGGACTGTGGAGACGGATGAACTTCCGACGTATCCTGCAGGCCACGTGTACATCGTCCAAGAAAATGGCTGGATGGACGCCACAGTGTGGCAAACGTACGTTTTGAACTTGCTAAAGTACGAGATTGATGCCCCGTCAATCCTCTTGCTGGACAATTTTGACTCGCATATTTCCGAAGCCGGTCAGAGCGTTGTGGTGGAAGAGACCTCTGCAATTGTGGTCCCCGTGCCTGCTAACAGCACCTCTGTGAGTCAGGCCCTTGACGTGGGCGTTATGGGGCCACTCAATAAAAAGTTGACAGCTGATTGGTTACGAGAGAAGGTGGCAGCTACAAGAACCGCGAAGGAAAAGCGTCTGGCTGCCGTAACACGCACAATTAGAGCGTGGGAAAACATATCTACGGAATGTGTTATTAAAAGCTTTGAAAAAGCAATCCCAAAACACCCTGTCGTGATGGTGTAGAGCAAAATAAAACATGTGTTTGCTTTTTTACGGTGTTTGTTTAAATTGTTTTTTCTACTTTTAATAAACTGTTGGGTCGGTTTAATTTTGACTAATCGCAGGTGATACCATGGAAGGGGGCGAGTTTTTTTGTCTTGTTGGCCTTTCTAAAAATGACTTGAAAATGCATGTCTACGGGGGGTTGAGTTTCACCGTCGTTGTCTGTAAACCAATAATATGGCATTTTGACGAATTATTGCAATAAATTATTAGCCCCACTTTGATTATTCTTAAAGCGTGTAGGTCATTAAGTATTGCAGAACATCTTACATGTTTATAAAGTATTATAAGGAAGAAGGAGCAAGAACTTCAGCAGAATCCCTCACATCCTAAGCTGCTCCAGCGATCGGCACGGTCATTGTATTTTTTTTTACAGGACGATAGTCGACTGTCATTCGGAAATCACCTGGTGACTTGGGTTTTGCCACAGGCACCGCCGCACACGCCCTTTTGGTTGTTTTGTCGAATAAAACCCATCAGCTCAAACGGCCTCGTGTATTCCTGAAGGAAGGTGCGTTGTGCTTTGGTATACCGACGTGAACGCTCTCTAAAAGGTATAGCTCCGTTCACCAACTGAATTCGCAGTGGTTCAATGTCGGTAGTGAGATCAGCACCCAGGTCAATCTGGAAAATACCCTCATACTCCAGCACGGATCGCGAAGGAAAGAGAGATAGTCGGGGTCAAAACCATTATTCCCAGCATATCTTCCAATTTACTGCGAACTTCCAAACAGAAAGCTCGAGATCTGCATGTTCATCGTCTTCAAATGGGCAAACATCTTCACTAAGTGCATCTCCAGCCAGCCCACCAAGTTGCTGGATTACATCAATTCCGAGTGAGACGAGCGTGCCGTTCTCAAGAAGAAAATTGGTATCTTCACCCTCCATAACCAAGCAGGTCACATTGGGGAGCTTCACAGTACTTGCTGCCGTTTGTAGCACGACATACACCGTAACAGAGTCAAAACAGATAACTGTAGAGCCTCCAGCAGCGATAGCCTCAATTGGAGAGGGTAGAACACGCCTTGCCACACCGCTACCAAGTGAAACTAGCTCGTCGATCACTGCACGAGGGATAACAGTTGAGTCGGATCCTGAGTCAGCACGATACGGCAAGACCACGAGCGCATTGATCATCAATGTTCCAGGTTGAGGCAAAGTCCTAACCAGCTTGACTCGTGACCAATCCTTATTTCCTTCATCTTGTCGACAGGATGTCTCCTGTCTTCAACGTCGCTGTCGGACAGTCACGAAGCCAATGAGAGCCTTGACAGACCCAGCATCCGGTCTTAGGTGGCTTTGACTCCTTTCTCTGAGGCTGAGACCCGGTGTGGTGTAGCGAGATCAGCAAAATCTGCGGGATTGCTGGATCCAACTTACCAACTGCGCCCAGACACCGACTAACGGAGGGGATCCTCCGATGATCCGTGTTCTGTTTAGCTTTCCTCACCGAGTGTACCCGCGGGATCTTGCTCTCTCGGTAACTTCCGAAGAGTTCAAGTGGTGAAGCTTGAGTGTCTTGGCGAGACGTGGGGATGGGGTGGAGCAGCAGTGGAAAACCTTCACTCTGCGTCCGTAGATAGTTTCGAATCCTAAGCGATTATTCGAGCTTATGGATCCAGGGCCTAGATCGTGGATCTGGCCGTAGGGTTGCCTTGCGGGTGTGTCCCTTGCCTTTGCGTTTCCTTTACGTCGTACTTGCCGCCTCCTGTGACGGGATCTTGAGAGTTGAGACCTTCTAGGGTGTAACCGACCAAGTAGTAAATTCGGTTAACCTGTCGGATCTGCACGTGTATAGGAAAAACTCACTAGGTCGTAGGATCTGGACAATGTTATCCAGTTATCACTACCAACACTAGATTCGCAATTCCCAACCTTCTCCTAGCTCGGACGGCCAATGTAGTTCCGATTCTTGAGGGCAGGAAGGCACTTGCGTGTTACTGTGCAAATTGAAGACTGTATTGATTTTTAAGCCTATACCTGCCTGGATTTCTACCTTCTATGTCTTTTACTTGTTAAATTCCTTACCAGGCTCGGCTGCATGTCCTTTCTTTCCTTGAACCATCATATCAGCTGTATTATCCTCATATCCACCGGATCCATGGCGTAATCAATATGGTCATCCTACTATAGTACACTCATCCGAATCCAGGTTGCTTGGATCCGCTTCACGGTAAGTGTACACTCGTCATGGATCTGAGCTCTCCAATCATCCAGCATCATCTTGCAACCGTCTGTGATCTCCATTGTCCCACGAAAATTCGAGATCCACTGTATCCATCATTCCTGTATCCTGGATCCAGGTCCCTCTATGCGGGATCCTCACCTCCTTGGATCCGAACTCGGAAGTATAGGATCCGGGACACCTCGCGGTGGATCTTGACTTCTCGTTAGTCGTGGATACGAGATCCACCTTCAGACCACACCTACCATCTTTCCTTCATAGGATCCACACTCGATCCACCCGTATATAGTATATCCCATATCCATCTAAGTGAGTTTAGGTAAGGGTGGATCCGAGATAAGTCTTGGTGGATCTTGCCTTCCCGTACATCACTCATACCAGATCCATCGTCGTTTCATACGGGATGCTGCTCGTCATGGCTAATCCACCTCAGGCAACTTGCATAGCGCCGGACGATCCGAATCCTCTCTAATCACTTGAAATTGTCACTGATTCGGGATAGTGACCCCGCGTTAGGTCCATTCTCTTATTTCTGAGAAAGCACCTCACCACACCGGTATTATTCGTTGGTGAACTCCGCTGAGCTCCATATCTACGGGCTTCCACAGCAGTATGCTGTTCTCCACTACCGGTTTTAGTCTTCGCTTCGTGATGTCTAGACCTTCGGTGAGGTGCAGATTTCGTTTTTGCTCTATCGACAGCAAGTGATACTTGTGCTGAGCCAATGCCTTCTCCTTAATGATATTGAAGAGCATGACATCGTTTTGTCTTTGCCTCTCTGCACTCATACTTACAATGTCGCTTGACATCATCACGTACCATACGAGGCTCGAGATTATCGATCAAGATGGTGCATCGTAGCTTCATGCGATCAGCAAACCCCTCTGCATCGGGGTCTCCGACACCGAGTATTTTCCCTAAACCATGGTTTTCAATAATAGAGGAGAAATCACGGTAGTACCGTAGCACATGAGCATGGATATCATCTTCTGCCAAGGTGATCTTTAACTTCTTCTCGAACAACTCGTCCAAGTCAGGGGTCTGCTCGCTCTTTATGGTGCCAATACGCTGCTTAATCAGCATGAGAAGCTCATCACTACCAACGTTATCCACAGCCTTCCGTAACTCATAGAGACATACGACCTTCAGCAGCTTTCGGTCGATTGAGGACCTCACTGGTTTCATCACGGTCTCGCTCGAAACAGCGCTGTCGAATAGTTTCTTCATACTGGTCGCGTGCTTGGTTCCATTTGACCAATGCATCATGACTCCAGTCGTTCAACCATGTTTCCTTGATGAGCTCGAACACCGGTTGGCTAACAGACTTCATCACTGCGTCACCATCAGCTTCGTACTGATGTGACTTGGTTACCATGCTGCGGTCCCTTAGGACTAAAGTATACTTTGTGGTAGTTTCCGCTTTGCGTTGCTGAAATGCTGATGCTTGTTGGTTGCAAATTTAGAAGTGATCTTCCTTGCGACTAACTCCTGCTCCTGCGCTCTACTCGGCTGCTCCTACTCCTATCGAGGCCACAGGTTTCACCCTGGGCACAGCCTTGAGAGTCGAGCACCAGGGTTGCAGTAAAACCGCAGCTTCACGTTGATATACGACGCTATAGTTTGGTATGGCTTGGTTCAGGGTAGCCCCCTTGCCGTTGAGGAAAGACTCTTTGCTGTGCCACACACTACAAAGGCCACTTGAAGCGCATTTATCAGGAAAATAGTTACTGTAGACCATGTGTACATCCGGACACCCCAAAATTATATACAAACAAAAAACCGTGTCAGAAAAAGAGGATTTTTTTCTCGTATACAAAGTGCAAATCTTTCTGCTTGGTTCATTACTGCTCTTGCCCGTCAAGAAAATGCTGAACGACATCATCTGCGTCGCTGACGGTCTCTTCAACCGCGTGAAGACGCTTTAACTGTTGAATTACGATATTCTGAGGGACGTCAGCCGCTGGCTCAGCCATTTGACGCTTAAATCCACTTCTGATAACCTGTGTACCTAACTCACGCCACGCTGTCGTAGCCCAATGAATAGCATCGTTTCTAGACGGAGGTGAGAGCACAAACTTAGCGCTAGACTCGCTTGACGAATACGTACGCAGTTGCTGCGCAATGTAATCCACCCAACGCTTTCTCAAACGCTGCTTGAGTGGTCGAAACCAAGAGATATCTGCCGGTTGACACACAGATGTCAAGCCTGGTGGCACCTTCACTAAGTGAATGTTCAAAATTTCAGCGTGCTGTGCTGCTTCCTTTGTCCAGTGTGCTGAGAAATCGTCCCAAAGCAGGAGAACTGGAGATGCCTCGTCTCTATCGGCAAAATGGTAGTCTAAAAATGCGATAGACAAATCCGAATTCCACCAAGCGGAACTGTTACCATAGATTTGAACTTGAAGATCAGTCTGGATACTCTTCATTTGGCGCCATAATGTATCACCGAAACCGTGTTGAGCTACATAGTTGTAGGCAGCTCTCTCGGGGATTTTCGATGGGTCTGTTTTAACAACGTAGAATGGATCATATTGCTTACCTGTTGAGTCTGCCAGAAACATTCCTGTTAAACGGTCCTTGTCCTTTTCTCCGCAGCGAACCCATACGGTTTTTGCCCCCTTTTTATTGATCGTCTGTTTGGGCAGATATTCAAAACAGATCCCACTTTGGTCTGCATTGTATATCTTGTCAACTCCAAGTTCCAACTTGGTTCGTTCAACTTCACACCAAAATGCTCGTGCAGCTTCTTCCATGGCTTCTGGTGATTTCTGTCCTTGGCGAGTTTTAGCACGTAGAGATAATCATGCCGCGACAAAAAAGCTTGCTGCCAGCACCAGCTACCCTCAAATACGCCCTCAGGAATACCTTCAGTGTGTGCGATATCTACAGCCTGAAGCTGCAACATCAACCGGGATATCGGTACGCCCTCATCACGTAGAGTATTAACCCACTCGACTAGGCCTTCTTCCGCTATCGCCGATAGAGTCGTTGCAGTGCCCTTCTTTCTGTCAGCTTTGAGGTGCGCTGTAGCCGAGGAAGATGCCTTGGACTCTATTTTCTCTCTATCCTTGATCCAGTCGTAAATTCTCTTCCTCTTCGACTCTCGTTTGGGCTTGGTGAGATGGCTATAGAACTTATTTAGAGTAGCAGGCATGCCGTGATCTCGAACGTAGTTTATTATGTCGAGCTTTTTACTAAAACTTTCACAGTCACGTGTATGACCATTGTCACGGCGTCCACTGCTGCCAGGTGCTCGCTTCCGCCCTCGTGCCATGCTGGAAAAACTCGCTGTGAGTGCCCGACAAGACGCTTTTCTGTGCTAAAATCGTACTATCCGTTACGATGGGTTGGGTAAAAATAAGTCTGTCCGGTTGAACAAATGCACTTCAGTGTGATGAATACATTGCTGTGATTGGTCAGAGGGTGTGTCCGGATGAACAAAACGTCCGGATGTACACATGGTCTACAGTAGAAAAATCAAATTCGAAAAATGATGGATTACCGTATTTAAGTACTTATAATCTCAAGAAAAACAGCCAATCGCGTGTCTTATCCCTATGATTCGCTGAAAATCGGTCCAATTGAACGCCACCCATCGGTTGGCTGAAGCGCTTTTCGCCTTGCAGGACAATTGCTCAATAGCTAGACAGCAGAGTACCATGTCCTTTCGGGGTGGACGCGGAGGCGCTCGTGGAGGACGCGGTGGACGTGAAGGTGGCCGAGGTGGTGGCCGTGGCGGTGGTCGTGGCGGTGGTCGTGGCGGCTTCCGCGAGCCCGAGGGACCTCCAGCTTTTGTTGTTGGTGAGTCGCACCCTTGAAAAAAAAATGCCCAGAGACGTTTGACTAACTTTGATTGATCAACTACAGAGCTGGGCTCCTTCATGCACGCTTGCGAGAACGAGATGGTGTACAAGAGCACGAACGACAAAGTGCCTTACTTCAACGCCGGTGCCTTCCTGGAGAACAAGACGCGCATCGGTAAGGTGGACGAGATCCTCGGCTCCATCAACGAGGTCATGTTCACGGTCAAGCCCGACACGGGCGTGTCTGCCTCTTCCTTCCAGAATGGTGACAAGGTTTTCATCAGCCCTGATAAGCTGCTTCCGCTTAGCCGATTCACGGAAAAGCCTGGCAAGAAGCCCGCAGGTGCCGGCGGACGCGGTGGTCGTGGCGGTGCCCGTGGTGGACGCGGCGGAGGTCGCGGTGAAGGGCGTGGAGGATTCGGTGGACGCGGAGGCGGCCGCGGTGGTTTCGGCGGACGTGGTGGTGGCCGCGGAGGGGGCTTTGGTGGACGTGGAGGCGGTCGTGGCGGAGGCAGAGGGGGCTTCGGCGGCCGTGGCCGCTATTAGACGTGGCAATTTTTTTAAGCAACGAAAATGTGTACTCCTGTTTATTGATCTCTATAGTTCGATCTTTCAGTGCCCACGGCCGATTGGTGCACTTCGCAGCTACTTCGTCACTCATTCATCTTCATGTTATTTGGCAGTGTTATCGCTAGTTGCCGCAGAAACAGATAGGGTGTGATGTTGTTGCAGATCTGTGTCTATCATCGACAGGACGCAACACTGATTGGATCCAGACACATCGCTGTACGAAACACAGAACGCAACACTTTCAGGAGGTCAAAACGAAATCTACTACCATCAGCTTGCTCCTTGTGGGCTCAGCCACTGTGGAATGAAGTTACAAGTTTAAATCCGCTCGAGACACTCGAACTGCACGATGCTGTTGCCTCGAATCACCTGTCAGCACGCACAGCAGCATTTCATTGCGTCAGATCCGCACTTTATCCCCACAATACCTCGAGCGATTTTCCGTCTTACCACCATGCCGATGCGGTTGGACTCAGTGGCCGAAACCTCCTCGACCGTCTCGTCCAGTGTCACGTTCATGAACTGATCGAAGCCACGCAGCACGCCCGACACCTTGCGGTTGCCGTTGAGCTTGAGGCTCAGCCTCTTGTCCATGTATCGCTTGAGGTCGGGGCCCGCCGTCTTCACCATGTTGCTCGTCCACTTGATCTGTGCGCGACATCTGGCGAGCCACACGAGTCATACACGACATTAGTGTGTTGCACTCGATTCCGAGTACATCTTGCTTTCAGTATGCTTCGTAAGCCTTCTCGAACGTCAGAGTGAAGGTCGCACCCCCTTGTGCGTAACCGCTCTCATTTAGAAAAACTCCACAAGCCACCTAAGCATAAAAGGCAACGGGATACAATGAGCAAGTCAAGCGGATACTCACAGGGACAGGACTGGGAATCGGCCGGCTGGGGAAGCCGTGCACCCCCTCGTGGCGCTGCTAAGCAGGCGGCTCTCAACAGTGCTCGTCGTACCGGCAACGTCGTCACTGAGACCAAACGTACGTCCTAGGTATTTATAAAATTGTTCTCGGTCAGAACTGACGCTTGTGTCGGATCTCAATGTTTGCAGACAACGCCGGTACCAACAAGGGCGCGCACAGTGCTGCCAATGTCAACATGCGCAAGCTGGAGGAGGACACGGACAACTTTAAGCACGACGCCGTGGACCGCAGTTTGTCTCAGGCGCTGATGAAGGCTCGAATGGCCAAGAAGATGAACCAGAAGCAGCTGGGCACACTTATCAATGAGAAGCCGCAGGTCATCGCAGAATACGAGTCAGGTCGTGCCATCCCTAACGGCCAGATCATCTCCAAGCTGAACCGTGCGCTGGGTGTGCAGCTCCCGCGTGGACCCCAGAAGAAAAAGGCTGCGGCCAACTAATTGAACCATTTGGTATTGATGCGGTTGGTTGGCGAATATCTAGCTAGGCAGCGAGACGAGCAGACTTCAGCGTCCTGTGTCTCCAGTAGCTCGAGTCCATTAGAGAATCAGGCTGCCAAGGCTTCGTGTTTTTGTAGATTGATCAACAACAAAAAATTGAATGCCCCTGGAATGCTGTAAAATGACGACTGAAAGCGTCACTTACTGTAATGAAACTCGTGTTCATATCTGCCAATAGCGGCGCTGTCTTCGGTGGAAATGGGTACACAAACTTCAACTTCCATCCGTAACGGTTTCTTTAGTCTGAAGTTTTAGTGATCGAGGCTGCCAGTGTCCTTGAGCACAGACTTAAAACAGTAAATCCGTTTGCTGGTCAAGAGCTCCGCCGAGGCTCCAGTGCCGTGTAAATATACCCAGCCAGTCATGCGCAGCAAGAACGAGCACTGTCCCATGCGTGTCTAGCAGTTGTACACTTCGATGGGAACACGCTTTTATTACAGTCTCCTATAGAACTTCAGCCACCAAGCAATCGAGCAGCTACTCCGATTAAAAGACCTGCTACAGCGTCGCATCGAAACGCGCTGCAACTTTGCAAGCTTCAATTGTTCATTTCGCGCCTTGCCGGTCGAGTTCGGCATGGCGAGTAACAACCCCAGCTCCAGCCGTGTAGCGCATCGAAGCGGGCCCCCTTCGCCTCCTGCACTGGGGAAGGCGCAGAGTCCAGCGTACGACAGCGATGGACTCGAGAGCGATGACGATACTCTTCTCGCTTTGTCGTCTCTCGCCAGGATGGAGACGTACTGCGCGCCACATCAGAATGAAGCTGGGGCCTCACAGCAGGAGAAGGCTATACTCTCCTCCAACGCCGTCTTTGAGAGTTCCACGGACTCAATTGATGTCGTTCAACAAGCTATTGACGCTGTAGAAAATGCTCTTGCACGCTGTCCCAAGTATGAACGTCGTGAGGCGCTTACCGAGCTGCTTATGCACGCCAAACTCGAACAGGCAAAGAAAGCCACTGTGTATAGCTCGGATTGCCTCCAACACGCCAACATTTGGGCTGCTATGTTGATGCAGGTCCAGGAACTGGGTCGCAACTATCCCAAGGAGTACGAAAAGCCCACGAGTTGCATTCGACGAAAGTACCTATTGGTCTCACAGTGCTTCTTGTCATGCGCAGTCCACAGGTCCACCAGCTTGTGCATCTGATTCAACAATGCGTAACTAGAGGCGGGAAGCACGAAGTTCCTGAACTGAATAACTACAGTTACAGTCACCCCATTGGTGACCAGCCAGAACAGAGTCATAACGCTAAAGAGGAGGAAACCCGGCAGCAGGAGCTAGCAGATGAAACCGAGTTGTGTGGTAGACTTGGAGAGGCAACTGTAGATGTCGACGTTAGTGAGGAAGAAGGAGAAGACAGTATTGGCTATAGAATCACTGAAGATATCATTGGGGTAGTGTCCAACCAAGCGGAAGAAGATAGGGATGAGGCAGGTATTACGCAACACAATGAACGAGATACCGACTCGCATCGAGACGAAGCTGAGATCGAAGACGTCGATAAAACTTTCCACGAGGAGATACAGAGTGTAGCATCCCCACCCTCAACTCGATTACGCGAGCTTCTTCCGATCTTGACAGGCAACGTCGTTCTCAAAGGTGTCCAGGTCCCCCAGCTTCCACGTGGTAGCGACGGGTACAGTAGCAGTGACTCTGACAAGACGAGCTCCTCTACCAGCAAGTCATCGTCGAAAAGTGTAGGAAAGAACTCGCGTCAGAAGTTCAAATTTCCTGAAAAGGAATTACTGCAGCTCCTAGAGGACGAAGAAGTCAATCCTCCAGCTCCCAGTCCAGGTTTACTGAGGCGCTTTAGTCAAAACTCCAAGATCACGTGCACAGTGCCACTGCGTCGTAAGTCGTTCTCCATGAAGCGGAGTCCACTCAAAAGTTCTCCGTTTGTTGGGTTCGCTCCGTTGATTTCAAGCGTGAGCGTTGCCGCGTCTGATCTACGTAGAGCGTCGATAACAACGCCGGGCTCTACCAAGCCAAGCAAGCGCTCGAGCATTACCGTGTCTGATCTGGGTAGAGCGGTGCTACCTTCGCCCCGTTCTACCAAGTCTAATAAACATTCGGCAGCGCGTCGTAAATCCATGAGCGCATATCACGTCACAGCTCCTAACATGACATCCAGTCGTCGCAACAGTAGGAGTTTTTCCGCTACAAAGCAGCAGATCCTGGCCTTCAACAGCAGGAGAAAGTCGACCAGTTTTACCACCAGACCTCCGACCGCATCACCGCGATCGTCCTCGCCATCGTCGCCGCCTTCTCCAGTGCCTTCCACTCACACGCAAATGGTGCTACGTGTGCGTGAACGATCGAGCGATGGTGTTCCAGAGCTCGTGATTGCCAAGAAGCCCGTGCGTTTTGTAGTGTGGCACTGGAACGACCGCTGCGTTCGCGTGCCCTTCATGAGCGCTGCCAACTTCATGGAACTTGGACCAGCGCAACACGGCATCATGTTACGACAATTACGCTACGTCAAGTCGATGATGCACGAGCTTCCGTGGGCTAAAGCTCACTTACGCTCACTATTGTCAAAGTACACTGCGAAAGAAGTGACGAAGGAAGAGCTGTACCCTCAACTCAACGCTTTGGGACAGCAAGTGCAGCACGAAATCAGCTCCCGCGCTAAGCAGCATCGACTTTTAACTGCTCGTAAACAGCGTCTCACTGTCACGTTGACGCTAGCGACGAGTGTGGTGAACGATACGCTCGTGACAAAGTTCGGAAGACGCGGTCGCCCTCACGCCTCGCGTTTACTTTACGACCCGACTACACCACTTCAACTGCGTTGGAGACGTAAACACGGCGAGCGTAGCGTCGAGTCTTTAATTGCTGACGAGATCGAAGTCATAGAAGCACCCGATATCTCGAGATTGAGTGGAGGGGCAGGCACTTTTGGTCGTGGCAACAAGAAAGCTGCTGCAGCTGTTGCAGTCGACCCCGAGTCGTGTTTGTCGCTCGTGACACCGACGCGGTCCCTGGATCTACAAGTAGCGAGTGCACTGCACCGAGAGTGGCTCGCTAATGCTGTGCGCGACATCGTGGTCTTTGCGAAGCAGTATAAGGCGGCCAAGTCCCACGGTGCGACCCTGAGCGACGACGGCAATTCCAGTGACTCGATACCCAGCTCTACTGCTATCAGACGGCGATCTCGCCAGTCTTCGTCGATGGGGAGCGCCCAACTGTATTAAGTAAAGCCGCTCAACGTCGCAGTAGGGGGGTTTCTGCTCTGGTAAGTATGCTTCGGGTAGGTTCCATACACAAAGTAAGATAGCAGCAGCACAAACTACTGAAAGATGAACTAGCTGACCGCAAAAATCACTGAATTGACTGGTAGTTAAATGCGCCTCGTCCTTATGCTTTCTTCTTGTACTGCGGCTTGCTCTTCTTGGTGAGAATCCAGACATAGAAAATAGTCATGCCGGCGCTGTAGGCGGATACGAAGCCCGACGGGAAGAAGGCGTTTGTCTTGTTGTAGCGGTTGGCCATGACGACTGTGAGCGGAGCCGATACGGCGAGTGAGATGGCGGGCCACAGCTTGGAAGTCACGGGGCTCTGCGTGTACTCATTGTAGCTGCAGTAGCCCACGAAGCTCAGGAAGGCGCCCGATACACCACCGGCCGCCAGGGACATCGTGCTTCCAGAGTTCACGAAACCGATGAGGCCGCCTAAGCCCAGTAGCATGCCATACTGCAAGTACACACCACCGGAATGCAGATACAAGACGATAGCGTAAGTTTTAGAGCGCGTTTGAAGACCAGATATGTGTAGATGAGTAAAGACGACGGAGATAAAGAGAGGGGTGTGCGTGGTGGTAGCTGGAGAGCGCATGAACGTACCGGAATTGTCAGGCAGAAGTCGTACATGGCTAAAGACTACCGGTATGCTTTGCGTGGCCTTCTTCGAGCTGGAATACGAATTGACAGTACAGTAGATGAGCAGGGATTGGATAAAATATCGATGGGCTTAAGCTTCATAATTATGTGTTTTTCTACGTCCTGAATAAAGGGCCGTATCTTTTGTCAAGCTCTCCCACACACACCTAACTTGCATAGAATGTTGACACGCTACCGCAAGTAGTGAACCACTTATTCTAGTACGTAGGACATCTACCAATCCCTCTTCAATACTCTGAAGTATCTACCAATCACTACACGATGTAAAAACGTCTCCTCTTCCACCTACCGTACTCAGATCCGTTCAAGCACCTCCGCGGCCACATTGCAGCTTCTTGGCGTCCCAGCACTCGACCGCGGGCCTTTCGTCAATTTCAACTTCTATACTAACCACCACACCCACGCGCAATGACCAATAAGATCTTCTGTACGCTGTCGCAATGGATTTCACTCCCCCGTCTCCCCGGTCTAATCTCTCGTTGTCATCCACAGGGGCGTTGTCATGTTCGATGTTGTCACTGTGTGGCTGCCTGTTCCTATTATCAGTGGGCATCCTGGTCAAGGTGCAACCCCAGTACATGAAGATTAGCAAGAGCGTCGAGAGCCCCGCTCCCATCTTCGAGTCGGCCGCTCTGTACGGGGCGCTCTTCCTGGCGTCCTGGGTCATCTACTACAAGGAGACGAAGAAGAACGAGATCGCGAGCTACGACCTCAGCAGCTCCACGTCCGAAGAGCGACAGGGTCTGCTGGACAAGTAAGTGCTATCTGTTTGAAGAGGTGGAACTGGTGGAAATCTGACCGATTGATGACGATGTTGCAGGCCGATGGTGAGCTACAGCTGAAGACTGGGAAGTCTTGAGCTTTTGGCTGGTGTTTTACTACTGTAGTCTGAGCTACTACGTGAAAGCGTCCAACTGTTCTTTTAATGCGAATACAATCACAAGTTCGCTTGTCGCCAGGGTCTTTTACACTGTACTAGACAACAGAATTGGTTCGCTTAAAATATCAGTAAATTATCCGATCATGTTTAAGTTCATTCATGTGAGTACGCAATTTACCTACCTCTACTATCTGCGCAACTTCAGTGTAATAACATGTTTTGAGCTCACCAGCATGGTTGAGTTCTGAGGAACGGAGGAGAATTCTCACATTTAGGAAGAAAAAAAAGTAGAACCGTAGCACGGTGAGTAGTGGGAGGTCTTGGAGCCTTCGTGCGTGCAAATATGATAAGCGACAGGCCTACCGATTTCTACGAGTACTCTGCAAAGATCACTGACGAATTCATTTTCAAGGAGAAGAACAAGTCACGAGACTGTAAATTTTTTGCCTTACTGTTTTATCTACTACCGTCTCGAAATACTATTAAATTAAATAAACGTTAGAATAATCGAGCTGTTATCCTGGAGAACCACGAGCTCCGAGAGGCTACATATATATTGAGTTTTCACTATTCTTTTCAGAATGCACTTGTGAGAATTGTGGGTGGAGCTATTTGGTGAAACGACAACAAAAGCAACGTATGCCGTTTGAGGGGATGGGCCTGGAAAGGGCCGAGCGGATAAATGAATTTCAGACTTACGTTGGGCAATTGCGCTTCCTGTAGCTTTGGTTTACGGAGAGCTCAAGCTCCAAGAGCCGTGAAGAACAACGCAGTTACAAATTCTTTTTAAATCACAGATACGATTATCGCTAAGTTGCGCTCATTATTGGGCGAAATTGGACAAAAATGGTTCGTAAGCATCATTTTGTTTGACGCCGTCTCAAGTCAAATCTGACAATCTGCAAAAAACAGGTCATACGTCTGGCCAATTATTATCTGTCTACACGATTCGATGAGCAAATGGGGGTTCTTGGAGCTTTGGCTCGCAGCTGTGCGTGAGAATATGACAATCGACCAATCTGCTGACGCTACTGATCCGTCAGTTCTTCGAGTTTCACTTGCGAGTTCATTCCGAGACTGCAGAAAGAAGGCGCATGACTATATCATTCGGTTGGAGTACTCGGTACACCTGGAGGATCACGAACGGCGACAAAACTCCGAGAGGCTTTAGAGCTGCTAACAATTTTTTCGATGGTTGACAACAATGCATTCGTGGATCTTATGCGCGAGAAGTTTGGCGATATTCACGCCACAACGAATTGTCTGTACGCATCAAATGCGTGTACCTATGCGCACAATGCTCACTGGCAGTTTTGGATCACGGGGACTCTGCCAACTCTCGCCCAAGTTCGCACTCAAATGTCGTGGTGTACTCTACTTGGACTTCCAAACGACACGTCGACGCTCTCCGCTCCGTATTCGCGTGCCAGACAAAAGATTGAAGCAATGGGTCTGCAAAAGACTGAGCGGGTGTTCAAATTGCTGATAGACTGGAGAATTAATCTGCCGGCTGCGACCATTATTGGAAAACTAGACACTGAAGAACTCTGGAGAATTGGGCTCGGTCAAGTTCCAAAAACTGCTTGACACTGGCGCCCCGTATGTTGTCCAGAGAGTTGCTGTTCAAGGCGTCGCGGCTTTTACCGAAACAAACAGAGAGCTTGCTCCCAGACGTGAGTTTCCCAATACCGGTACGTCGTTGGAGCAACTGAAAGGAGATGTGGTTCTCTCGCATTGCGATTTCGCTGCATCGGATATTGCAGGACTTTGTGAAGCTGTAGCAAAAACAACCACGACGCGTCTTGTGCTAGACCTCAACAACTGGGATACCTCGTCACAATATGTGAGGCATGCTGGCTCCGCACTGAGCTAAATGCTTAGTGGCAGTGCATTTTGTAAGCAAACGGATGAAGCTCGCAGATTCCCAAGAGATGTTCATCGCGATCGAAGCTCCCCACTCGCCGTAGCTTGCTGTAACATACCTTACTCGACGATCGGTCCCGTATGCTCCGCGATTGCAAACATCAAGTCGGTGTGTGACATAACGTTAGCGCTACAGACTCTACCGAGCGAGCCAATATCCCAATGAAGCTGGCTTGTGTACGCGATGTGTTGTGGCCCCCCACACAATAACGTACAGGAAGTCGCGATCGTCGAGGTTTCCTTGACGCAAACAGATTTGGATGTGATTGACGAGGTGCTGGAAACTGAATTCCCCGTACCTGCGATCGGGCTGGAGATGCCCGAGTATGGCTATGTTGAGGTGCAAGAAGGAGCAAAACTATTTTACGCGGTTGAAAGTGTCACTCTTGATATTACTGCAACATGTCGCTTCCGAGCAGTTCGTGATACCGGTTCAGGTTTTCTGGCAAACACGGCACGCGTCGTCGCTCCTGGGTATGGGCGATATATAGTGAAAATTGGTGAAGGAGCAGTTTTCATTCCTACTAGTTCGCCACAGAATGCTTCTCGTGGATTTCAGACACGTCGCATTCGTGCTCTCACACTTCAAACTTTAGTGGTGGAGGATGATTCGCTCGTGGTCGAGCTATTGTCAAAAATCGGGAGAGGACTGCAGAAGTTATGGATTGCCAAGCTGGAGAACTCCCCACGTCGTCAGAACACTAAAGGTCTGGATCTGAGTGTTTTGGCTGCTATTTGCCCTGAGCTGGAGGAGCTCAGTCTAGTGGCATGTGACGTGCTGGTGTCTGAGTACAATGAATCGCTACGCCGCTGGCCAGTAAAGAAAATGGGTCTTTGCGAGACCTCACGCTTCCCTTTAATAGCCCAGTGCTTATCGGATGACACATTTCTCATGGCAACCAATCTCACTCAGCTTTGCGTCACGTCGTCGGTTGGTTCTTCTTTCAGCGAAAATGAGACCAGGGAACTTAGATTTCATAACGGCGAGTTCTTGCCTCTCTTAAAAGAGAAGCTCCCTATCCAGATGAAAGTGGCCCTGCTGAGTGTTGTGGCTGGATTTCGGGAATGCACCTCTCTTCGCTCTCTCGATGCTTACATTTTGGGCTTAATTTTTCATTTCGCCTCAACGCCGGTTCGACGGTGTGTTATGTGCGAGTGACACGGGTCTGGTTGATGGCATTTCGTCCACATTTTAGTGACGAAAGCTTTGGGAATATGATCCGTTTAGTCTAAGCTTTAGGGGTTCTAAAAGTGGCTAGATGATTTCTACCACGGGTCTAGTGGCGATGTACGGAGCCTGTTAACTGCAACAGTTTCGAGGTCTTAGCGTAGCTAGCGATCAGTCATGGACGGCAGTTATTGAAGTACTTTTGCTCTATCGTTTAGTAACAAAGCGATAAGGCGCGACAGCTCTGGATTTTGCCCACGAAAACTGATGCGCTCTTTTTTTATATAATACGAAGTACAGTACAATACAATATAGTATAATAGTGTCCGGATTGATGTGAAAGACCTCTCGAGTAGGAAAAAAAGACAGCATACGCGTATTCTTAACTCGGGTGCGTAATTAAGATTGTTTCTACAACGTGTAAAGCTGTACATGTATCGATTGTCCGACCACGTGAGTGGATGTATTAATGGTCCTCGAAAGTTTTGCGCGAGGGTGGTATATTAATCTAAACAGTGCAAAGAGCAATTTTCCGGCTACAAGAGCAGCGCTAGAAAGCACAGTCACAACGAGCCAAATCAGAGTTGTGATTCTGATAATATTAGAGGAACCATAAAACCACAGAACCTCGTCTATTCTGAAATGAACCGAGCCCGAGCGAGCCATAACTTAACTGAAGAGCTTTTTTGTTCGGAGACTGGCTGGGTCTCACTCTGTTCTGCGTCTCACCCGGTTCGATGTCAATACAATTTAAAATGGACCCATTTATTGACAATAGATTTACCCGAGCAGAAATTAAAGAATGCGTTGAATTTTGTTTTGTCTCCGCGTGCGGTCTACCATGCACAGTAAGGCGCCTACTGTAGTTAGCCCAGTCTTGTAATATCGAGGCTAGGAAAATTAGCAAAAAAACAGAGAGTGTTTTCTTCTTAGGTTTTGAAATTGTAATAGTGATATTATCCCAACCGCGATTTAAGAACCGAAACATGGCACAGAGCTGTTGATTACTTAAGTACCTATTGAATTGCTTGTCCTTTTATGACAACTTTGCTGCCCCCAACTAGGAAGGTATCGGATTGTTTGTGCCTTTTTATGGCAATTTTGCTGCCCCACCCAGAAACAACTGAGTATTGTATTCTTCATGCATGCGGTCTCACCGATCGCACCCACTAGGTAAACTGTCAATTAGGGGCCACAAAACAAGCATCTGATCCCCAAGCGTGTAGTTTGCTGTAACGGGGTACGTAGCCCTAAGTGTACCCTGGCTACATGAAGTGTGACACGTCACACTTCAGAAGTATGACACGTCATACTTCGGGATATTTGGTACAAAGTACCAAGGTCGTCCAAAGCCAACCATGGGTTGATGACATTGCATTTCTATATGTGACTTAAAGTTTGTATTAAACCCAAGCTTAACCTACCTATAAATATACTCAGTTTACATTCTACCTGAATGAGGTCCCTTCGCTCTCTTTTGAATAAAGAGAGGACCTGTGAGCTGCCGTTCACTGAGAGTTTGTATACTCTCGGAAGCTAACTTCCTCTAGCGCAAGGTGCTGTGTGACCCCGTCACACTTGGTAGCACTTGTAGTCAATCCACGCCACCGCGGGTAGACTACCTGAACCTCTCCGAAGTTCGTTGCCATGGACAGGAACGACTTCTCCCATATGAACGACTCTCAGTTCGAGTCGGTTCGGAAGATGGCAGGCATCTTCGGGATGGAGGCCCCGGAGAGCCTGGTGGTGTCAACACCGGCCGAGCAGCCGAGCGCGTCAATGCGTTTGACGCGTACGAGCAGGGCCTCATCGCGCATGTGCGGGAGAACGTGCAGGTTCCGGCGGCGGAAGCAAATCTTCCTCACCCGAAGCCAATACGGCTGAAGGTTAAGCCGTATGAAGGGAAGGAAGGCAAGAACCTTCACTTCTGGGTCCGAGAAGTAGAGCTCGCGATGGACGCGGCTCTGATCTCAACCGAGCAAC